GCAAACTTATCTGTTTCTCAAGATATTCTGACCAAACCCAGTAATACTTAGCTTCATTATGCACTTAGAAAAGAGATTTCAATATCGAATGCCTATTTCATTATAAAATTAAGTTCAGGCAGAGAACCTTATCCGTTTCTCCAGATAGCTTAATCTGTTTAACATCGAGCTACTAGCTCAAGTATAATCGAATACCTTTCTGCTTAGCACCTGGATACGCTGGCATTTGGCAATGCGAAGGTGACGACACGCGCCTTGAGCACCCAACACATCAATGGCCATCCGACGGCTGAGCATCTGCTCACCGGTGCCGGACATGAGCTGAACATGAGCCGAGCAACGCACAAGCGGCTGCATTTGATATTCATGAGTGTGCGCATTGATGGGAGCGTATACTGCGGCAATTACAGCAGCCGGCTGGCGCAGCTGGCGAGGGATGCAGTGCGTCAGGGCGAGACGGCCAACATAACGGGCCACAAAAGCTTTGCGGCGCCATTAGATGTGGACATGCTGTCCAGCCGGGCGCTAAATGGACTGCCCGTTGACGAGCTGGTGCTGAAGAGTCAGTTGTCACAGAACTTCACGAATTTGAAGCTCTTCCCACGCATTGTGGTGAAGAGTCAACTGGAGATTGGCCGCAATCTGACGGCCCTGCGCCTGAATCATATGGAACTGTCGCAGCTGCTGCAGCCGGCGTATAGCCTGCAGCGTCTGGAGCTGCCGGAGATGCCGAAATTGCAGCAACTGATCTTTCGGCGTCTCAATGGCCTGGCCTTTGATGAGCTGCTGGGCAAGCTGAGCGTCGCTGACGGCGAACCGGTGGAGCAGCCGCTGCTGCTCCGCAAGCAGCTCATCATCGAGGGCAATGTGCGCTTCAAGCGGCCACTGCAGCTGCGCACCCTGAATGCCATCCACTGGGACGAGTATGTAAAGGGTCTGGTGAGCGCGAATGCCAATAGCCTAATCGTGGGTGAGAAGCGCTTCCTGGAGCCGGTGCTCATCACAGATGCGCTCCACGCGCCGACCATAAATGGTCTCGATCTGAGTGCGTTGCTGGAGAATACGCTGCTGCGCACCACGCCCCAGTCCATTGGCGGCGTCTATAGCTTTGCGCGCCTGACGGCCACCAATGTGGATGTGGCTCAGCTGAATGGCATGCCGGCCAGCAGCTTCTTGGACTTGGGCCAACCGTCACTCCGGCTGCAGGGTGATCTCTATGTGCCCGAGCTGCAGCTCAATGGCAGCCTCAGCTGTGTTCTGCTCAACGATCCGCTGCCGCGTCTCGATGCCCAGCTGGCCGCGCTGCAGCAGCGCAACTGGCGTCGTCTCATGGTGCTCGGCGATGCACTGTGGCCACAGGCCTCCGATCCGCAGCAGCAGCAGCAGCAGCAGCTGGACTATCTGCGTCTGCATGCGGTGCGTCGTCGGGCCGCCAGTCAAATAATCTCGGGACATGTGATCCTGCAGCAGCCGCTGCTGGGCCATTTGCATGCCAGCGAAAGCTTGCTCGGCGGGCTCAACATTAGCCACATAGCCGAGGATGCGCTGCTGCGTCGGAGCACGGTCACGCAGCTGGTAAAGGCGCCGCAGACAATGCTGCAGAAGGTGCGGGCGCGCTCCATTAGCCTGCTCAAGGATGGCCAATTCGAGCTGCTGAACGGCATAGATCTGCGCCGGCTGAATGGTTCGCTTTATCGTCGCTCCAGCGGGCAGCCAATGGGCGCACAGCTCCGGTTCCAGCTGCCACCGAACATAACGCAGCTCCGGCTGCTGGGCGGGCTCAATGGTGGCCATCATGTGGCCAACATCTACGAGCAGTCGCCCGGCGGCATTTGGCCGGCCGTGCAGTTGAGGGAACTGCAATTGCAGCAACGCCTGCAGCTGCACGAGATCAACGGCATGAGTCTGGAGTATCTACTCGAGCAGCGTGTGCCGCTGCGTGGCGCCGCCTTGGAGCTATTCGATACGCTCCACTTTGAGCGGCTGGTGCTCGGCGAGCGCGCCATGCTGCGCACCATCAATGGCATCGATCTGCAGCGCGTGGTCTACAAGCACGGGCAACGGCCGCAGGCCATCGGCGGCGCCAAGACCTTTGCCAAGGGCATCGAATTCCAGGGACCCGCCCACATAATGCGCCTCAATGGCAGGGATCTCAGCGAGAGCTATCAGCAGAGCATCTACACGGATCGCGACTATAGCATCGATAGCCTGGTGCTCGATGGCGCCAGCTTCCAGGGTGGCCTGCTCGCCGATGCGGCATTAAGTGAGTCAAGGCAGGCGCCGCAAATGGTTTTAGAGCTGGAGCTGGGCCAGCATCCACAGAGCGCACGGGAGCAGCTGCGCCAGCAGCTACAAGAATTGATGCAGCAGCTGCAGAGCAATCGTGCGAATCATAGCCAGCGTCTGCTCTATCTGGACTATGAGCAGCAGCGCCTGGAGCTGACTTGGAGCGCGCCCGCTGCTGATGAGATACTGCAGCTGGTGGCTGCCCAAACGCCACAGCCACAGAGCGGCATCTGCCAGCTGCAGCAGCTGCTGGCGCAGATCTCTACGAGGCAGCAACGCGTGCATCTGACCAACGTGAGCCTGGCCAGCCGCCTGCTGCGCGCCAGCTCCGGGCGAGCTGCGATACGCGTCAAGGCGCAGAACTACTGCAACCAGCCGCTGCAGCAGTTCCGCAGTCGCGTGCACATCAGCTGTCGCGGCCACGCCCACACGCTTGGGCTGCGCCAGCATGTGGAGGCACTGCAGCTGCACGACCAGCAGGACTACAGCCTGCTGCTGATCAGCGGCACGGATGAGGTGCGTGTGCTGCGAGTGAATCACACGAACTGCAGCCTCAGCGATTGGCAGTCGGTGCAGCCCGCCTCGGCTGGCCGCCTGATGAAGCTGCTCCAGCTGGAGGGGAATAGGACGCTGCTGCTGACCAGCGGACTGCAGCAGCCGGAGCATTTGCCCGTTGTGGCTGTGCATCGCCTGGACGCGCAGAGTCAACGCTTTGAGCTGCTCCAGCACATCGAGGGTGACTACGATCTGGCCGAGCTGCAATCGGAGCAGCTGCTGCTCAGCTGTCACAGCTGTCGCCACATCTCTGTCCATGTCTTCAGTCCGGCTGCCGAGCAGTTTGTGCCCCTGCAGCAGCTCCGCTTGGCGGCGCGCATCCACCAGCTGTTGCCCTTCAGCGTTGCCCAGGAGCGCCACTTGCTGGTGCTGACCATGCCCGGCTCCAAGCATTTCTATCTCTTCAGCTATGCCCACATCGAGGGCTGGCAGCAGCGCACCTATGGCCGGCACATGTCCGACTTCCAGTGGTCCTGGCCGCTGATTCGCTCCGGGCAGGAGCTGACGACCTCGGCGCCCGTCCTCCTGCTCTGCGGGCAGCGTTTTTGCAGCCTGGTGAAGGCTCTGCTCGACTAGAGCCGGTTCATTCCACCTGCTACTCGTATGGAAAGTAATTTTGTTTAGTCTTTGTTTACTTATCATTAGGGGCATTCCGTTCATTTTCACAGCTTGTTGTGAACAACTTTGTTAAATTTTGCTGCATTTCTCAGCTGCATTAAATTGTTAATTGTTAATAAAATTCGTTAAATATTTGTTAAACATTGAAGGAATAAATATATATGTGTATATATATTTAACTGGAATACCACTCGTTTTCTGTCAATCAGCTCAATTATATATGAAATTCAATATATCTGTGCAGCTGTCAATTGTTATTAATATGACATACTCTTACACAAATACACCTTATATAAACTAAAAATAATTCTTCAGATCTGTATCATCCGTATATATTATTATATAGATTACTAGCTTAAGCTTTAGAGGTGCGCTATTCTAGTTATATTTTATCTAGAATTTATACCTCTAAGACTTTATTGGACCCATACATATATGTTGTATATATATTCGCATTTATATAAAGATACATACATACATACGTACGTTCATACAAAGAATAATATACATATTACGGCAACTCCCTGGCCTTTGCCGTGGACAGTTTTAAACCTTTTATACATTACTTTTTCATCCAGATTCCGCACGTGGAATATCTTAAGTTCAATTTAACGGTGATGTTTGAAAATAAGTTTAAATCCATCGAACTAAGAACCAAAAGTTGCAATCAACTGCTTACGCCGATGTTTGTGTTTAAGCCGAAAAAGAAAAAAGGCAATCGGAAATAGATTAAGACTTCGACCAAAAAGTCTTTGAATCACATTTTCCACTGAGGAGGCTTGTATTCTGAGCAAAATGTGCAGCACGTCTCAAATAAATTTTCATAAAGAGCTTTAGAAATAAATCGGAACCCGAAACTTTACCCACCGTATCTTTCACCCTCAATTATGTCAAGGGGGAATGGATTTTCCGATGTTAAACATCCCTCAAATGAATTTGAACAGAGATCTTCGAAAATTAAGCTGAGGCCGGGCGGATGACAAACAAAAAAGTTTCTTACATTCGTTTTTCGCGCTTTTTCCACACTTGCGGGTGAAATTTCCCAACATAAGGTAACTACAGTAAAAATTTCCGCTTACCCCTCAGGTGAACTGTTTATTAATAATATTGAAATCCATTTCGTAATAAAAAACAAATCACATCTTTTACATATATTATGTACAAATAGAGAAAAGCCATTTAGTAGGGGCATTCCCTCAAATCATAACTAATTATTTTAAAAACTTTCGTACCAATATATGGATTAAATGCGATATATATGTCATATAATCTGATAAAAAAAAAACAATGTGCTAACGTTTAAAATTCCAGATAAAATATGGAACATGCATATCAATTGTTTATTCTACTATATATATATTTATCAAAAAAAAACATACTTATATGGGGTAGTGCCAAAAATATCTATAAAGTTTTAGAGAAAAAAAAAATTATATATGTTTTATGGGCAATTTGTCGATTTGTCAATTTTAATTCATTGGCTGCCAATCGAATTCTCATACATAGATATTGCCGGCATACCCCTAATAGCGATTATCACATTTCAAGTATTTGTTTTTTTTAAAACAAATAAAGTGGCTAACGAAAGCTATGAAACCAACTTTCATGTCCACAAACCTAAAGAAATTCTAGTCGAAACGGCGATGGGACGGCGCTCAAAAAATGAAGCTCTTGCGGCTGCACTTGACCACATAGATGGTAAAGACGAGCAGCCCCAGGATGCCCCAAATGGAGCTGTTCTGATTGGTGCCATTGCCAGTCTGAGCCTGTATCCAGTCGACGTGGCTGGCGACATCCACGAAGGCGGCGGACTTGCTGCGAAGGCCGAGCAGCTGATTGGACTTGGTCAGCGGAGCACCTGCATCCAACTCGTAGGCGGCATTCTCCGCCTGGTTATCGTACTGCACGCACAGCTGTTGCAGCTCCTGGCAGGGCGAGGGCTGGACACGCAGCCTGAGCATTTCGTGCAGCTCGTGACCATCATCGCCGGCCAGGCCCCAGCTGCTGATGTGCCAAGGCGCCGGATCCGACTCCAGATGCTGTGTGTCCACCGGCAGCGATATGGGCTGTATGCGCGCCTGATGGGCGGGCACATCCCGATCGAGCATAAGTATGGCCAGCGACAGGTGCTTGGGCGGCTGATAGACATGGGTCACACCATAAACCTGGGCATGGGCCGTGGGCGCAAAGCGCTGCGTGCTGCCCAGCACCACGCGCAGCTCGGCGGGATGATAGAAGCTCTTGTTGTCGTTCCTAAACGGAAGGTGTACCCAAAATCCGATTAGTTTCGATCTGACGACGATCAAGCATTGTTTACCTACTTGTATAGGCAGTGGGCCACTGTGAGCACCACGGAGGGACCCACGAGTGCGCCCGAACAGATGTGACCCTTCCCAAAATAGTCCAGCTCCTGGTCAAGCAGCCGTATGGAGGCCTGGTAAGGTGCTCTTCGCCTGCCACCCGCTGCATTGGACGTGCCTATGCCACGCTGTTTAGCCAACTCGTGATGGGTGAAGGCTGGAAAAGATAAATTGAAAGTTTAGATAAGATAAAGATATAGATTGCGAGAGAGAAGGACTTGACTAGGATATGCACAAGCATTCACGGTTCCTTTTATAAATAAATGCACAGGCGAATTACATTTTTGAATAACTTCGGTGCTTATTGTCCGATCTACTTCAACTTTTCAGTACTTAAGCACGACACCCTATTTTGAAGGAAAAGCCGAAAGGTATCCAAAAGTTCTTAATATCTAGCTCTAATTAACTTCGAGCTATGCCTAAAAAAGATGATTCGAAATCGATATTTATCGATATTAAGATAAGTTAACGATCGTTCTTCGTGTGGTGCAAGAGCATATTTATATTTATTATTTCAATTTTCTAACTTTTGTAGTTTCCAAATTCCAAGCACATATTGCGGCTGTTCCTCTCGTAAAATGATTTTCGTATAAGATAAGAAACTCAATTTGCATTCTTAACTAACTTTGAGCTTTGTTTTCACTTTTGGTTACTTTTGAGCAGAATCAAAGTTTATTGATTATGATTATGAAAAAGCCGTCTAATGAGGAATTGGCCTTGGCAATATCGCCAATGCATTTTATATGGTGTGATCCATTTCGCTTATCATTATCGACGCGAACGCATTCCCCGATCAGCTGATCGTCGCGTTATAGTTGTTGCGCCAACCATTGTCCGGGGTTTTAGTATTATCGTTGGAAACGATATCGCCCGCTGTTGGGAGGTCGACGCGCGTGTTTTATGGCACTACCTGGCTACAATAGTAGTTGGTCAGAAGCTCGCCGGAAACTATGAATTGGTTATTTTTAATTGGCCTTGACTTTTCTAATCTGTCACGAACTAAAGCTGCAGACACAGTTGAGCATGGCTATAAGGACACGCGTGGAAAACTATACTGAGTTGCGAATTTATCACATACATATATACGTATGACAAAATTAAGACCTCTTATCAGTTTCTTAGTGACTTATAGAAATAATATATTTTCTGGAATATTTAATTAAAACTTATCACAACGTATCTGGCTTTAACTGCTGCTGAGCTATTTCTAAAGATATCCCAACTATTTGTCGTCAAAACTATTTTCGTAGTCTTGCAAAAAACAAAATCTACCTAGAAATCATACGTTTTCAGACTAGAGTTGGGCCCGTGAAATCACATATAATCAGATCTCGTGAGCGATCTCTAAACTTATATTTCAAAAAGGCACGAAAAATCGAAATATATAGAATTTAATATATACATTTAAGCTAGTAAATAAAAAACGGTATAAAACATGCATTTTCTTTTTAATATGGATGCACTTCATGTTTTTTTCTTTGCTTTTCTTATATTTTGATTCTTACAAATCATATGAATATTTAGATTTTTGATGTCTGCTAAACACGAACACGCACGAGTTTTACATGGAAAACATATAAAACATGTATTTTCTTTTTAATATTTATGCATATATACTTTACATATTTTCTTTTCTTTTCTTATATTTTGACACGATCTAATCCCATCTTTAATAATCAACTCAAGTCTCTAAGCTCGATCTAATTTCGTGTAGATTCCTATCTATGGGGAATCTAAATGCGAATAACATAAACTTGTAAATTATATAAATTTATATGTAAACATTTTATATATATATATACACTGTACTGTTAAGTTGTTCCTTAAAGCTGGGCTACCTATCTTATATTCCATATAAAGTATATAGTAAGTATTCTTTTGAAACTTGTATATATATATATATATATATAAAGAAAACTTACCATATTCTACTAGATATATAATATGGGAAGACTTAACAATCCTCGAGTGTTAGTTAAACAAATCTTAAATCGATCTTTAAATGAATCGCAACTTACTTGTCTGCATTTCGGTGCACAGGAATGCAAATATCAGTATTTTGATGATCCGCTTTAGGTGCTCGTTGAGTTGCATTGTTGAGAAATCGAACAAGGGGATTAGCCAATCAGTCCAGATCGTAGGGCACTTGTTCAACTTGGTAGAGCCGCGTAGATAGTGCGCACCTTGATAGAGCTGCAAACGTTGAATGAAATAATTCACTTCTAAAATGTACGAAAGCAAATTCGCAAACGCTTTTCCCTCAGATTATTCAATTTTGTTTTGATTTCGGGCGATGTTTATGCTTTTTTTTTTCGTTGTTCGGTTTTTTTTTCATACTCTTTCAGAGAGTGTTCGACTATTGTCAGAGCATTCGCAGCCCCCTTAAACAAAATATAGTTATGTCTGTCTGTCCATCTGTTTTTTTTATGCAAAAAAGGCTCTCAGATCGAAAGCTAGATCGTATCACTATATCGTATAGCTGATATAAGAATGATTGCTCAGTTTTATGTTTTCTGCTTGATCAAACTAAGCTTTTGCGCGTTTCAACATCGTCTAACATATGGGGAATACTACTATATCATTGGCTCAAGATATCTTAACCAAACTCATATCGAGTGGCATATATCATATCAAATGCAGGAACAATATATCGGGATATGCGGCTCTTTGTCCAAAGGCACTTTTAAGCCATATGCCACAAGGGTATTTACTCTTCGACATGCCAAAGATAGAGGTTCTTTCTTGTTTTTCCCTTTTTGTTTATATTTATTGATAAAGTCACAACGTTCGAGCAACGCCGCATAAAGCATGCACGCACACACACACACACACACGCACGCACGCACACACACACACACACACACACATGAACGCTGTCATAAGCGCTTAATGATAAGACCTCTGATTATTTATTATTGTTTTCTTTTTTCTTCGATTTTTCATTTTGTTTATATTAATATTTAAATTGCGATCAGTGCATTTGCAGTTGACAACCTGGTATGCCCTGCCCTTGGGCATTTATGATAATTAAGAAAGAAGCTTAGGCAGGTGCTTTGGGAATATCTTAAGGTAACACGACAGCAAACATTAATTGCCCTAGAAAAGTGCGTCTGTACTTGGCATACGCACTGATAAGGCAGATATGTGCGTCCATAAATACCACTGTGTAGGGTATTAAGCATTCGGCTTATTGTTTTTTAAAGTCGAATTTATCAGTAAGACTAACTTTTAATTTTAGACGCGTGCGTTAATTTCGGTTACTAACTGAAACGCAAAATGCGAGCCTTAAAATAAACCACGGCTAATAACAGTTGTTTAACATGCACATAACATGCCAATGTTAGCAACAAGCTGTTAATAACAGCGTTTTGATTATAAACAGCTGTTAAGCAGTCTTTACAAATATTAGCTTCTTACATTACACGACGAGTATCAATTTATAGAATGTAATGTTAATTACATAAATAATATGCAGATAACATGCCAATGTTAGTAAAAGGCTATTTATAACAATCTGTCATTTGTGAACAGCTGCTAAGAATTTCGTAGAAATTTTAGCTTCTCACATTGGAAGCGAAAAAGTATCAAATGATATAATGCAATATTTTATATAAAAGGTTTGCTTTAAATTAATCAATATACGTTTCCGTTCCAGCCCCTTTCCGACTATAGATATATAGAAAGATATAGATATAGAGAACTATTGATGCGATCTGCAGGCAGTCTAGATATCAGGACAGCGCATTCTGAGTGTGTCGTAACCCCTTGACCTTGAACTTTTCACCAGATACTACCCGATGGTGGCAGTGCATACAGAACTATCCCACAATAAAAACTTTTTTGTAATACTTGGCAAATGTCAGTCACATGCAGCGCGCATGTTTCTGAAGCACGTCTATGGAAATAGACAGGCCCGACGATTACATAGCCGAACTGCAATTAACTAGCGATTGCTGATGGCTGATAAGGTTTGGGAATTGTCCAATACCAATACCAATACCGACTGGCATCTATAAATGTGATTGTAAGTCGACTTGGTTATACCCTGTAGCCGAAGCGAGTTAAGCAAATGTTTTGGCTTTTTGATTATGAGATGGAACTCTGAACATGTACGAAAACTCAAGACTTTATCTTGAGCGATTCTAAATATATAGCATATATAGCATTGACAACGGACAGATAAGAGCTGAACAAGAATAGTTAGTATAGGGAAATGGTGGCAAGTCCACTCTACCTTACCACAACAGAATTATATTCATTCATTTTTTGCCCATTTTTATGATTCAATCGTATTAATAGTTAGTAATCCCATTTCTGATTTTCCCCAAACATTATCTTTAGTGGTTCTCTATCCGGATTGAATTTATGGCTGAAATATATTTAACCAATAATTGCGTCTTAAACTATTTTGGGTTTTCGATTTGAAGTACATTTAATTTACGCTGTGCTTTTGGTCTTATAAAGTGTTTCATCTTATTAACGATCCATTCCCAAAATGGGTTATTCGAACGCGTCCTAAAAGTATGCTATGATCCATGGGTTGTCTGTGTGCATAATGCTTGTGTGTGTGTGTGTCTGTGTGTTTGTGTGTGTGTGTGCTTCCGATTCGCTCTAGAAGTCGCATAGACTTAGCATGAAACCTAGGAGGAGTATTGTCCTGTAAAGTGGCTCGAACATTGTGCCAGATGATCTGGCAATATCCTCGAATTCGTCGGCGCGCATGAGATCGTTTTGGCCATTTTGTGGATTTTTCAATTGATAGCTTGCAATGGTATTGTCTATCCAATGCCAGTAGTGTGTCACATTGGCATAGACACCGGGAATTTGGGGCATGCCGCACCTGATGCCCCACGAACTGATGCCGACCAGCCTGCCGTCGCAGAGGAGCGGCTCACCCGCATCGACGGTGCATCCATCCAGCTGATCCTTATTCGCATTGCTGGCACACAGCATGCCAGGGCGCAGGGAATTCTCGACAAGATCGGAGACACGCCTACAGGCCCCCTCATCGATGAGCGTCACATTCAGCCTGATCATCTGGCCCAAGTAGTACTCCATGTGACTGTTGTTCCAGCCCCTGATGTGGCACCTGGCTTCCGGCTGAGCGGCTGCGTCGGCCAATTGGATGGGCTGCATGATGGACGGCACTGTGGCGTTCAGTATGATCAATGCGATGTCCTTGTCGTAGGTGCTCGTATCGAACTTGGTCAGGTTGATCAGCAACGACTGCAGCGAATAGGACATCGTCTGCTCGTCGCGTACGAAGCGATGCTGGCTTCCCAGCACCACCATGAACCTCGATATGGGCAGAAAGCTGCCATCGTACCTGGTCCGGCTGTGGGCGAAGAACACAAGAACACAAGATCAGACGCAACATCTACAGCCCAAAACCCAGCCAGCACCTACTCCAAAAAGCAATGCGCAGCGGTTGCCACCACATTGTGGCTAATGAGCGCACCACCGCACACGTGGCCAGAGCCATAGCGAAAGGCTTCCTTTTGCCGCTGGCGCAGGGAGACATAATACTCGATTGGCGCCCCATCGGCATATGAACTATTGTCAAGGACCGGCACGGAAAGCTGATCGTCGCCAAGCACCTGGGTTGTGTTCAGCTCAGCCTTGGTCATGTCCAGCGTGGTCCAGAGCAGTATCAGCAGCAACAGTATCACACTTACCTTACCGCCCGAATTCACGTATAACAAAAGATCCATATCTTTCAACTTCTGTATACAAAATATAAACTGAGAACTTTAAGCTAACTTATTTACCTATATTTAAAACCATATGCAGAAATTCATGGCATACTATGCTCAAGCTCTTATATTAAGATCTCGATTCGGAATCTTTCGAAACGGATCCTCTTGCATTTGCTAGATTCTTCATTCCTTTCTGGTTCTGTCTGACAGTTCTTGGCTTTTCATAAATCGGTCAGGGAAATCTGTCTCCAAATATTCTGTAAAGCTCCCCTTCGTAGTCTAAGCCAGATATCTATATCTATGAAGTGTATGCCTATATGATCAAAACAATATTCCTTCTATATCTTTACGTGGATAATGTGCAGATTCACTTAAAGGAACAAACCCCTATAAGATTGTATTTCATAATTTTGGCTTTAGCAGAACGGCAATAAATGCCAAGGGATCCTTTCATAGATGAAATACTTATCGGGCTTAGATCTGACTGAAAACTTTGCATAACCCGTATGCAGGAACAAAAGTATCTTTTTTTACCTTTCTCAATTACAACACATGTTCTTTTTTTTCAATTTAAATTTGGGTTTTCAATAACATCTGGACATTCATCTTAACCTTAAAGTTGATATATTGACCAAAAAACAAAACAGAATTTTAGCGTATCGTTATTTTACAGTTAAGAAATGTGGCTCAGGCCGAGCAGCACGGGAACCGCAACACTCAGAGCATAGGTGACTGTGATTATAGCGACGCCATCGTCGCCAGCCTCTGGACTGCCCTCTGTGGTGGTCTCTGGGCTGCCCTCTGTGGTGCCCTCTCCACTGCCCTCTCCGCTACCCTCTCCGCTGCCCTCTCCGCTGCCGTCGCCGCTGCCATCTCCACTATTTGCCTCGGAGATTTGTTCGATTATCCACTCGTAGTAGTAGGACACCTCAGTGTAAACACCTGGCAGGTCAGGCAGAGCGCAGCCAATGCCCCAGGAGACAACGCCCGCCAGCTGGCTCTGGCAGACGAGCGGTCCGCCGGAGTCGCCATTGCAGGCATCGCGCTCACCCTCCATATACCCGGCACAGATCATCCCGGGCAGTATTAAATGACCCAGTGCGGTGTCGTTGATGCACTGCGCATCGCTGAGCATGGGCACGTCGAGGGTCATGAGTATATCGGAGCCGTAGCCCTCCTCGGTGGTGCCCCAGCCAGTTACCTGGCAGACGGCTTCCGCAGGTACGGCCAGGGAGCTCAGTGCAATGGGACGTATGGTGGGATGATTGGCGGGCACTGAACCACTGAGCATAAGCAGCGCAATATCCTTGTTATATGTGGACAGATCAAAGATGTCCAGCTGCAGGATGAGCTGATCAATGTCAAAGGTTAGGGTGTTTGCCTTCTCGAAGCGATCCAAATTGCCCATAACCACAATAAAGTCCTCCTTGGGCAAGAAGCGGCCATCGTAGATGATCTGGCTGTGGCATGAATAAAAACCATTAGTTGTAGAGATCGGTTACGGGGATTACACATAAGAATCGAGTATGAAGATTAGCTGATAGTCTCGGGCTGTATTTCAGCTATGAGGCACGAACATGAGGATCGGCAGTAAGAATCGCAAATGTCGCAAAAATTGTGATGTAACCCCTTTGTTTTATTTTAATTTGGTCTTAAATGAGAATTTAAATTTCTTGAAGCCAGTCGATAGCCATGGTCCGTAGTCGAAAATGGTATATAATTTAAATATCGGACAATTTTTGGCCGAGATATTCCATAAAAAAACATCAAAAAAGGTTGATATCAATACAAAGTTGGTTTTTTGTCCAAAACTTTGAAGTAAGCCCCCGATATTTGATTCAATTGATTTTCCACTCGATAGTAGAGATCCGTACAAATTCAAAAAGGTATAACATTTCAAAATCAGACGATATTTACCCGAGATATTCAAAAAAAATCATCAATAAAGTTTTAATTTTCGAACCGACCCCGATTTTGAGAAAAAACGTGATGTAACCCCTTGCCATTTTGTTGATTTGGGTCAAAATTTAGATTTTCATTTTTTTTAATGCCAATCGATAGTATTGATCCTATCGAGTCCAAAATTGTATAAAATTCCAAAATCTGACATTTTTTGGACGAGATATTCCAAAAAATCATCAAAAAAGGTTGACTTTACAAACGAATCGTTTTTTGGTCAACAACTTTTTTTAACCCATCGATTTTTAATTTGTTTGAATGACAATTGATAGTAGGGTTCCTTACGAAATCAAAAAGGTATAACATTTCAAAATCAGACGATATTTACCCGAGATATTAAAAAAAAAATCATCATTTTGAGAAAAAACGTGATTTAACCCCTTGCTTTTGTGTCGATTTGGGCCAAATTTTATATTTTAATTTTTTAATGCCAATCGATAGCCATGATCCGTACAAGTCGAAAATCGGACATTATTTGGCCGAGATATTCCGTCATCAAAAAAAATGACTTCATTCCAGAGATGATATTTTGTCAATAACTTTTAATGAGGTGCGAGCGTGGGAAAAGAGGATTACCTATGATCATTTGAATCAGTTTGTGGGAACAGTTATTTTATTGGATTTTGTTTATAAGGCCCCATCAGGTTAAATTTTAATCTGCAGATATGAGGATCAGTGCATCAGTAAAATCCTATAGAGAAATAAGCCTAAGCAACATATTTGAGATATACTTCATAGGATCTGTTTGGAGTGAAAGGTAATGCATATAAGTTACAGGCTATCAGTTGTGAGGCTCAGATTGAGGATCTGAAATGGTGATCAGATATAATGATCGGATTTAAGTATAAAACTGAGAATCTGCTAAAGGGGGCATTTCGAGTCTGTTATGAGAATCAGTCAAAAGGTGACGATCACTTGCAACGATAATAGAACGGATCTATTATCCATTACGAATGTAAGATCTGATATGAGAATCAGCTAAAAACGATCAGTAATAGAGATCAGATATATCACAGCCAATTAGGAGGATCAGATGTGAGGATCGGCAATAAGTTTTGGCTAAAGAGTGAGTCGTCTGTCATTGGATGTGTAGCTATGAGGATCAGCTGGGAGTTATCCTGGACACTTACTCCACAAAGCAATGAGCCGCGCTGAGAACCGCATTTGGCCTGATCAGTGAGCCGCCGCAAATGTGGCCCGTACCGAAGAAGTAGCCATCGTTGAGGCGACGCCGGAGACTGACCTGATGCCTGGTGGCCTCCATATTGGCCACGGTGCCATTGACAATCCGACCCGGATCGGCATTGAATCTGGGACGTATATGCCGTGAGTCCAGTCTAGCACCTAAGCCGTACAAGAACAATCGAGAAAGGCATCAGAAGATGTGAGCGCTTCAATATGGGCACACATACCACACATCGCCACCAGATAGAGGCCGAAGAGCACGGCAAAGATCGTTGCCCGTTTGGGAGCCATGTGGAGTATTCGTATTTACGGCACGAGCTGAGAACGTCAACTAAATGTACGGACAGTCAGGGCCACTTGGCCAGCCAATTGCTATCGTCACAATTAAATCTGGCAATACATGCTCGACATAATCTAATCAGCCGTCACCGGCCAGACCCACCCACTTTGTAAATTTCGTTGAATAGATTCTTGAACAGCGGACAGCTAGTCCATTCCGTTCACTGGAGTACCAAACGGGGCATGGCTATAGGGTGTGCACGTGTCTCTGTATTGGTGCAATTCTCAAGTGTGAAACATTTTGATGGATTTTCCCAAACACACCCATGCAATCTACGATGTGCCCATGATTGTCATATCAAATGGTTTTAGCACAAGATCCATTTCGATTTACAGCCCCATAAAGTCACGGAGTTGCTCAACGATATCAACAAATAGTTAACAATTAATTAATTCAATCGAGTGAACTACTACGAGAAGCTGAAACCTATCTCTGATCTTCGAATCGAACTAAAACAGATTAATCATAAAATACTACAAAGATCCCTTTTGAAGGTATTGAGGATTTTAATATATATCTTTTTATACCCTGAACCCATTGACAATGGGTAAACAGGGTATTATGTATTTGTGCAAATGTATGTAACAGACAGAAGGAAGCATCTCCGACCCCATAAAGTATATATATTCTTGATCAGCATCAACGAGCCGAGTCGATCTAGCAATGTCCGTCCGTCCGTCTGTCCGTCCGTCCGTTGTAGGTCCTCCTAATCCCCGCGCAGATCGAGTTTGTTTTCGATATTCGATAACTTGCCCCGTTTCCAAGTAATCGATAAAAATCGATATCGAAATCCTGTTTTTTCAGCAATTTCGGCAAATAATATGAGCTAGATTCACCAAACTTGACATGTAGCTTCTAGAATAGTATATACATATATAAAGTATTTTTCATTTTATACCCATCGCCTATCGGAAGAAGAGGGTTCAGGGTATCCCCTAGTCGGGAGCTCCCGACTAGAACCTCTTACTTGTTTTGACTTCTAAAAGTGGTCATCTGTAGCTATAAAGTCGAGAGAATGGAACATTCTGACGAATTCTTAAAATTGTTTTTATATGAATTGACCAGATTGTCAGACACAGGGCTGAAAGGCGTCACTCGATTCTCGGAAGTGTTTTCTGTTTGGCTTCGCTTGTTTTATAAATAAATGTATAATGAATATATCAGTGATAGATTGAAATTGAAATTTCGCACTTAGGAGCTGGTTTCATTGATTAGATAAATTCAATTATTTCATTGACCGAACACGAGGCTGAGGCACTTCAGATCCAATTTCTGGCCCCGCTCTATTTACACATTTGTTGAGCGGTAATCGCAGAACTATAATAACAAGTCAAACAAGTGGCAATACCTATAAAAGAAATAATATTTATTAATTTCTTTTTGAATATTAGTCAGTCTTGCAGACGCATTCAGTAACTGGCCGCCACAAAGATGGCCAAGACAGTCAGCTTTGGGCCAACGACAATTGCCGCTTTGTCGCTGTAGTACGAATAGTCGAGCGAGCGATTCGTCCTCTTTATCCAGTCGATATAGTATGCAACGCTCGTATAGACGCCGGGCGAATCTTGGGCAGCACAAAATCTGCCAAAGGAGACGATGCCCACGAGCGTATTGTAGCACTGCAGCGGACCCCCGGAGTCGCCCTGGCAGGAATCGATGCCCCCGCTCATATAGCCGGCGCATATCTGGGCAGTCGATATATAGCCATATTTGCGACTGCAATCCCTTTGGCTGATCACCGGCACCGTTGCCGATTGCAGAGTTGGCGAAGTGGAGCCGCCCTGAAAGCAAACGTTAATCGATTAATCGATTAATCGATCAGCAAGCAAATGAGGAAATCAACAAAAACTGTTGCCAAAATGATGAGCAACTTGAAAGCGATAAGCATAATTTCAAAATTATATATGTATAACAAATTTCCAATTCTAAATTCAAATAAGCATTTCGAAAATATTCAGGAATATGAATTCTTGAAAGACAAACCAGAAATACTTGAATTCAATTCGAACTCGGGAAATGTTTGAAATGAATACTTCACTTACAGAGTATGTACTACCCCAGCCGGAGATCAGGCAAGGTGTACCCACTTCGGCGGCTTCTTTGGCAAGTGGCAGAGCCCGAGCGCTCGATCTCCAGGGTATATAGCCGTTAATGAATAGCAGTGCAATATCGTTCTGTAAGTCAGACGGATTGTATTGGGGATGGGCTATCAGCTTCTGCACGTTATACTGCAGCATTGCTCCACTTCTTGACTGTAGATAGCTGTTGCCCATGACCACCACAAAATCTCTGGCCGAGCGCATCGATCTCCTTCTTCCGCTACAAACAAATAAACTTGATATTAGGTCCGTTTCAAATGCTTTCAAGGGTCACCCACTCGAAGAGACAATGTGCCGCCGTGGCAATCAGGCGCTGGCTAATGACCGTGCCTCCGCATATGTGACCACGCCCGAATTGTCTCCTGTCAATCTTCTTCAAACGCAGCGAGACCTGATATGGTGTCTTGGCTATGTCGGTAGCGGTGCCGCCCACAATCTTGAAGTGCATCGAGCCTGCTTGGCATTTGGATAGAAAGAAAGAAATTAAGTATTCATTTGCGCTCATTCATTGTTAACGCCAATCTATTAGTTATCTATCAAATGGGCTTCGCCGTGACGTTCCAAAACATTTGCGTCACCAACAAATTATATTAGATATGTGTTTGGTATCTAATCGCAATTTGAATATCGCAAAACTGATGACTCTCGGCTGAGGAAGGGGGGGGGGGGGATTACTTTCCGCCACAGTCGCATCGGACCGTTGTAACTTATAGGATTGAAAAAGTCAAAAGTCAATTCTTAAATAATTTTATACAAACATCTGCCGTATTTCCATTTTCGAAAGAATCTTACAAAAGCATATTTCATACATTTTCAAGCAGAATCGATTTAAGAACCAATGCCAACTCGAATCGAAAGCATAAAGTAAGCGGAGAAATTGTTACGAATATGGAAAGCAGAACATTGCATTCAAGCCTTAGCTCACAATTTCGTATATTTTTCAAGTCCTTGGAGCACTTAAAAAATACAAATTTATTCAAATCTCTCATATTTGCGATTCGAGACAGCCAATGCGTCAGAAAATCTATTGTTATCGAAAAGGTTTCGATTAATTAGAATTGAAATCGATTTGTATACTTGCTGAAATTCGGAACACCCGGAACAGTAATAAATAAAAATAAAAATTCACATATCCATTCAGATGCCAAATCTAGAGATATATCCGATTGCCCTTACTCACCCGCAGAGACTGGCCCCAATTGTAATAGACAGATGACTATATTTAACCACGTTATCAACGAGACGAGCATGTTTTGCAATTTTTGATGCCGAAAGTAAAGGCAAACCAAGCCAAAAATAATCCAAAATAAATTTTTAAAAAAGCAATCACACAAAATATGAAGAAAACACATAATCCGAAAAAAGGCATGGCTATAGGTTCTGAATGTCTCTCGGTCTTGATCAATTGCACGCAATTCTCAAGTGTGAAACATTTTGATGGATTTCCACAAACGCACCCATGCAATAGACCAAGTGTACATCATTGTCATATCAAGATCCATTTCGATGGAGTTGCCCAAGCTTATCTCTAGTCTTGGATTATAGTTTTTCTAAAAGAACTTTTGTCGGACTGCGATTTATGATAAAGTAGTTCAACATTGACAAGATTTTGCAATTTAATATAGATATAGATATACATATACATATATTTTTCTTTTACAAGACGCTATATGTAGCTATAAAATCATGATTGAATATTCTGATGAATTCTCTAAAATGTTTGCTTGTTAATTTTAGCTTGTATGGAGACGTGCATTTAGGATTTGGGTACATAATATCAAGTGCTTTATATAAAAATAACATCGTAAGGACTTATAAAATAAATTAATAAAATTTACAATTTTGTTCAGATCAATAGATCTAAACTTTAAACATTTCGCCTAAATAATTATATACAATTTTGTCTACAAAGGCTCTTGCTATTCTTCAACTGATTGCATATTCGGTGAAGTGTACAAAAAACTGGCTTTTCATAAAAATGTGCACTTCTAAAATACAATTTAAATAAGTCTCAAATATTGCATTAAGAAAACAAACTGGTCTCAAAACCATTTCGGCTATGGTATAGAAAGAGAGGGAAAGCGCGCAGCAATGAGAGCTATTGCTATCTTTATCATTTTTAAGTGACATTATGCTCCTCTAGCATTTTGTTGGTTTGCTCCGCTGTGCGATTGATCAACTGCATAATTTCGTCCAGTTCATTTTTAGTCGATTCTACGATTGGTTTTGTTTCGGGATCTATTGCAGTTGGTATTTCAATGCCTGACTCCTGCTTAATCTCAGCTTCAGCCTTGACATTGGACATGGTTTGCGCAAAGCTAGCATCTAGATCCGATTCCTGACTTTCAGTATTCTTATATTGCAGCTGTGGCACACGGCGACGCTGCAGCACCTTGCGTTCCACATGTTGTATGCCCGTTTCCATTGCCTTGCGTTTTCTGCAAGCAAAGTGAGAATTGAGTAACATGATTTAAATGCGAATTTGAAATGTTTGGCAAACCTGTTGCGTGGACTTATTGATTTGGCTGAGCTTGTGGCTGCTGTGCTGCATGGTATTGTGGTAGCCACATCAGCGGACATGGGCGGCACGCCCACTGCCGTTTCGTTTTTAATAATGGGCGCTGTGGCGGGCACTCCATCCAACGCTTGGCCCACTTTTACGTAGGCGGCGACAGCCGCCAGCAGCTGTTTGTGTTGCACATGAAAAGCGTCCACATCGTAGGGCTCAGTGGCCACAGTGGCTGTAATAGTGATAATTGACAAATATAATAAATACTTCAAATATACAATAGACGCCTCTTACTTCTGCGCAGCTGAGCGCCTTCTATGCGATACTGTTTGAGTTCTATGTCCTTTTTCTTAACGACATCCAGCAAGGACTGCAGATTTTCGTTTAGATTGGTGGCGGTATGAAGAGCATCCTTCAATAGGCAACGATAAAACTGCAAAAATAAGCTTTACATGAGTATGCATTTGGTTAGCTTTCGAAGGTCTTACCATTGCACTGTCCACGCCGGTCAAACGCCATTCCCACTTAAGCGGCGCCGGTGCACCCTCGATGCGATATTTCAAGCTGAGCACAGAGTGCTGCTCCTGCTCCTGCTGCTCCGGCTGCTGCTCGATGCTGCCATGCATATTCACATCAGGTTCCGCCTCAGCCGCGCCGTTGTGCTGGACACATCGCAATGTAGCCTCTGCCGGATGAGCGCTACTTAAGGCCGTGCGCACCGCTTTAATGGGAAAGTGCACGCGTTTGTTCAATTCCTGTTGGTATCATTTTAATATCTAGTTAGACAGCTTTTGGCAAAAAAAAAAAACTGGCAACAGGCTCACCCGAATACGCTGCTGAAATTGTGTCACAGGCAAATTTTCATTGTAGCTCAGTTCGTTTATTTTATCATGGCAATAAAATTGCAGCACGTCATCATTGTCTACGTCGCCACTAAGGCAACTAATTAATTGCACATCATTTAGTTGAATTATCTTCAAAGTCATATTTCATCAAAACGCAACACAACATAAACAGCTGACAGCTGTGCCGGCCCGGCCCGGCCCGGCCAGTCGTACGCTTCGCGTTTATCGAGCCGCGGAACTGGAACTAGCTCATTGAGTGGAACGAATTGAACGAATAAAACTTATCGATTGCGCCAGCAAATGCGCGCGCTAAAAGCGCTTGATTCAAATTTGAATTTAAAAATAAACGAAATATACTAAAAGCTGTTAGGAAAAATTACGAATATGATTGATGCGGCTGTGCTGTCATTTGAATGAAACAACATTTCGTGCATTTCGTGTGATTTTGTTTTAATTATATCTTGTTTATAAGTAATACTTTTTGTTTTTAAATTTTATTTTTTGTTTTCGTTACTCGTAATATTATCAAAAAATTGTTTGTGTACTCTTTTTTTGTTTGTGTCTCCCCATTTAATAATGTTTTTGTTTTTTGCTTTTGTTTTTATGTTTTCGAATAACTAGTTTAAATTGTATTTAAATTTTACTACTGACAGAAAATAGCTAATTCATTCATATTGAATGCTAGTTAATACCATTCTAATACAATACATATTTATAATATTTGTATGTATACATATATAATTAACTAAGACGCATAATAATAGTAATATGTGTGTGTATATATATATATATATATATATATATAGTAAAACAGTTGTAGTTGTAACATGCAGAAATTTATGAGGAAATCTGGATTTTTTTTTTTGATTTTTAATTTTTTTTTTTTTTTTGGTTCAGGAAAGGTTTTGTATCGCGTTTCATTAGATTAACGCCGATTATCTTAAACTAGCCTCGCGCTTAACTTAACTGTCTTTTTGTTATTTGTTTTTTTGTTGGTTTTTTGAAGTGCGGTCAAGTGCCATAAATATGCTAGCCTAACAAATTGTGCTTAAAACATAAGCTTAGACGCAACGCCTAGATTAATCTCGGGCGACGTTTGAGATTTTGAAAGTTTTTCGTTGGTTTTCATATCTGCGGACGTGTCCAGAGCTCGCTGAGATCCTTCTGGCGCAGCTTACCAAGCTCTGCAAATGGCAAGAAGATACATTTTTCAGTGATTTAAACCAGATGCTAAGTGGCATCAATGGCGACTTACCAAGCTGTGTGGGCAACACGCTGCTGCTACGGAAACTCAAATCGAAGCGCGGCTGCACCGCCAGTTGGCTGGCTGCGGAGGAGGCGGAAACGGCAACGGAATTGCGAAAATTGGTGCCGCTATCGAATACGAATAAAGCAGAGTTAGACGTTTATATATTGTGCCAAGATTTTAACGCTCACCTATATGGATGCTTCAGGCAGCCGTAGACCTCACGATAGCGACCGTAGAGTGTGCCATAGGAGACGCCCAAAATGCGTGCGGCTTTCTTCATTTCAAGTCTTTTGTTTTTGATGGCATCGAGCACCTAAGATGGATGAGAATTGGGAATACTCAAGGGTACACTGTTCGCGATCGGGCGGCACTCACGCGCTTGGTAAATGGCTCCTCCCAGAACTGCGGACGTCGCCCCTTGGCCAAGTAGTCATCCATTTTGATAACATCCTGCCACTGCGTCAGCTCCTCATTGGTCAGCCGCAATTCGGCTGCATCGTAATCCTCCAGCTTCACTTCGGCATAGTCGGCGCCATGCTCGACACCGCCTGCCGCCGAATTGTTGACTTTCCCATTGCCATTGGCGGTGGCGGTGGCGGCGGCAACAGCTGCCGCTGCAACGGCCGCCGCAGCCGCCGCGCTGGCCACACTGGGCGCAAAATCGTGGGCCATGAGCAGGCTGTGATCGTTGATCAAGTAACCGGCTCCGGTGGCTTCGCCATGCGTATACTTGCCGCCAAAGCCGGCGGGCAACAGTGCCGAGGTGCGTATGGAGGCGGGCGATTCCGCACGATTGGCCACCAGATGCTCGTTCTCAATCTCCTCGATGGGCTGCGGCAATGCGCCGCTTGATGCCTCCACCTCCACCTCCGCCTCCGCCTCCGCTGCCTGCTCCGGCTGCGGCCGCGGCTCAGCAGCCGACGACTGGCTCACAGTTGTTGTGGCGGAAACACGATGCGCACGCGCCGCCTTCTCCTCGCCGGCCTTCTCGCGCTCCCCATAGAGTCGACGCGTGGCATGACGCAGCTTGCCGTGGCGCTCGCGACGCTCTGCCGGCTTGTCCTGCTTCCTGTTGGCGCTGGACAACGGCACAGATGCCGCTCCTGCTGCTGTTGCTGCTGTTGCTGCTGTCTGCACACTAGCCGCATCATCGCTCAATTCCAGCTCTGTCTTGAGCTCCACATCGCTCAGCTTGGGCGTCATGTTGCCCTGGCCACGCTCCGAGCCATTGGCCCAATCCTGCTCACGCTCGCCCGGCTCCGTTTCTGCTGGCGTCGATTGTTGCTGCTGCTGCTGTTGCTGACGCAGTCGCTGGCGCTGCTTGGGCGGGCAGGCGGCGGGCGGCGAGGCCAGCGCGGCGGAATGTGCTACGGGCAGCGGCTCCTCGGCAAAGGGACGCCCCGACTCCAAGTACGCGCGCTGTGTGGGCTCCAAATTTGCTGCATATTGGGCCAGCTTACGCCTGGTAAGGAAGGTATATGAATATATAGCAGGAGACAATTGATTATATAGCCAAGCACTCACACATTGAATACATCGTAAGTGTCGTCGAGCGGTGGGCGACCTCGTTTGCGCTTGGGTCCCAGATACGGATCGACGGGCGCTCCGGATTCCAAACTTGCGCTGGCGCTGGCGCTGGCACTATGCAGGGGCGTCAGTGCGGGCATACGGCTGCCGGCATTCAGGCCCAGGGCATTCTCGAGGGCCGCCGGCGAATGGCGTTCGCGATCCCGTTCGCGCTCGCCGCAGAGCTGCGGCTGCAGATGCGGCGCCTGCTGATGGAGCATGTCCTGGGCATAGCTCTCGGCCAGGCTGCGCGGCGGCGAATGGAACTCGGCAGCTGGCATCGGAGGCGGCGGTCCATCGTCATCGTCGCGCCAGGTAACCTCGGCCAGACCCTTGATTTTCAGATCATCGGCCGTCTTCAGCAACGAGGGCAGGCTGGCCTGTAGTAGCAGCAGAATATATAGGTTTATAAATTGAAGCCAGCAGCATTTAGTTGGTTGTTATGCTCACGTGCTCCACATTGATCTCGCCCTTGTACATGAACTCAATGAGACACTTGACCTCGGCGAAAGTCACATCCTTCATGATGATAATCGGATCACGCTCGCTGGCATAGTTGGACAGGACCGAATCGAAGAAGGTGCTGCACGCGCACAGGACCACACGATGTGCCCGTATCAATTGGCCCTCACAGGCCAAAGTCACATCACAGAAACAGCCCCGGTCCAGCAGCTGCGAGAACATCGTCTGCAGATTGCTATGATGGTACTTCCAGCGCAGGCAATACTGCTGCGGTAGCATTGTGGACAAATCGGATGGCTCCGGTGCCCCTTCAATTGCTCAATAATCTAAACAATAAAAAAAATACAACACAAATGCCCATGAGTTTCGCATTACGACTGCCAAATAACACAAACAATCAAAATTCTACAGAAAGTTCCAAAACAACTGGAAAAAAGGCAACAGCAAAAAAGATGGGCTATTTTCGGCACGCCGTAGACTAAATACCCTTGAGACATATGGCTTAGAAGTCATGAAAATCGCATAGAAAGGCGGTTTTTAGTAGCGAGTGCTAAAAGGAGTAAGAAGAGGAAGATTATATACCCTTGAGACATATGGCTTCGAAGACATGAGGAGGCTATGAAGTCATGAAAATCGCATAGAAAGGCGACTTTTAGCAGCAAGTGCTTAAGAGAGTAAGAGCTAGAGTCAAAGAGAGTGATTGAAAATTAACTTGATCTGGTATGCAATATAAGATACCAAATTTTTAAGCTCCAGCTCGCATAGGCTCTGAGATCAATTGGACTAGTCAGAGAGAAGAGCAGGTAGGTGTATACTAGGCGGGAGTGCCCGACTAAAAGCACTTCTTGCTACGCAGTTTGCGTTCACTCCAACCCAAACAATGAGATATGAGATAGAATCGGAGTTTAAAGTCCGATCTCAATGAAATGTTCAGTTTTTGTGTGAAAATATCAAAGCGCAAAGCTTTAAGACTGACACAGAATCCGTTTAGTAATACGAGAACGAGCACATCCAGTTTGGTGTGCTATATTTATATGAAAATTTCAACCAAATTATGCCCGACAAATTAAAAGCCAAAGCCAAATGTGCAGTCCACAAAAGGAAATCCGCTTCCCCATTAAGCACATATATGCAAACATGTGTATTTATGTTTATGCATACATTCTCAATACACATATTTGTACATAGCTATTTGTCTTGATTGAACCGAGTGCTGGTAAGCTTTATTTTTCACAGCAGACCAACAATTTACCCGCAAGGATGAACAACTCTTTTTTATTATTCACTGAAGCCATTGAAAATGGTTAAAAAGGATTTGCTGCTTTTGTGTAAATAAAAAAAATTAAGGATTTATAACTGTTTCGATATCTTCAGTCGCTTTCCACATTTCGACAAATTTCGATTATGACACAGCTTGGCTCAGGGCATCTGGCAGGGCATCTGCCAGTCGAACATACCCGACCAGAGCCCTCTCCTGTTTATCATACGAGCAGATCCAACTTCATATTTTGTTTTCCAAGACACAAACAACAACCGAAAATGGTTTAATATGTGCATCATAGATTTTAGACACAAAAAATCCCAAAGTTTTAATACTTGTAGAAACAATCCAAATCGATCAGATCGGCTTTCAGAGGATTTGCAATGATACATTTAACAGATCCATCGGGAAATATCTTTTCAAATTCAATGCTAAATACTATTTGAGTCGTCTAACACCTTTGCCGCAAAGGTTCGAACCAAGCCGCTGGCTCAAATTGTAATTTGTTACTCATGCTCAACTTTAAACTCAACTCCAAGGCAACAAAAAATTGGGTGTACGCAAATTGAAACATTTTGAAAACTGAACCCATTATTGGAAAAAAAAAATGTTGTTTTCAAGTATTTCATATATGAAAAATAAAGCCAACAACAATTGTAATTGAGAGAAATAGTTGCTCAACTTTTGTGGGGCTTAGTTGAAGCTCTAAACAAAATATAATCAAACGTGTGGTTCGCTGAGTCTGAAGAAAACTCATGCCACGGAAAATGTTGGAAAATGTACGGAAAACTTTTTATTTTTTTTTCATTTTGGCTTCACTCCCTTCAACCACAACAACAACAACAAAACTAATTAAACGTGTTTTTCATAATAAAAAAAAAAATATAAATAAAGCCAGAAAATTTACAAGACCAAATATTTCATATATTATCAACTTTTATAAAGCGCATTTTCCGCATAAGGTAAAATATTAAAAAAAAAAACAAGTAAGAGTTTCTAGTCGGGAGCTCCCGACTTGGAGATACCCTGAACCCTCTTCTTCCAACAGGCGATGGGTATAAAATGAAAGATACTTGATATATATATACTATTCTAGAAGCTACATGTCAAGTTTGGTGACTCTAGCTCATATTATTTACCGAAATTGCTCAAAAAACAGGATTTCGATATCGATTTTTATCGATTACTTGGAAACGGGGCAAGTTATCGAATATCGGAAACAAACTCGATATGCGCGGGGACTAGAAGGACCTACAGCCAAAATTTCTAGTCTCTAGCTCTTATAGGTTCTGAGATCCTTGCGTTCATACATACGGACAGACGGACGGACGGACATGGCTAGATCGACTCGGCTGTTCATGCTGATCAAGAATATATATACTTTATGGGGTCGGAGATGCCTTCTTCTGCCTGTTACATACATTTGCACAAATACATTATACCCTCTTTACCCATTTTCAATGGGTTCAGGTTATAATAAAAACAAAACAAACTTATCTTAGTTTCAGGCAGACGAATTCAATTAAAGACTGCAGAATTGATTAATTTGTATTATTTAGAGTTTAGGTCGAAGCGCGTATCCACTTGGACTCGGAATGATAAACATAAAATACTGAACTCTCTGCCTACTTTACTTTTTCATATAGTACACACATATTAAATGTTTACAAAGTATCTGAAACGAGCTACCGACAAAAAGTAGAGTAAGATAAAAGTTTGCGCTATAAATTTCGAGAATTTTAAACCCTACTTCACTTTTACAATTTGAGCTACCCTTTTTTTTTTGTTAAGATTTACTTTTTTTGCTAAGACATTTTTAGTTATAATAATAATATTATATATAGGGGGGTCAACGAAAAAAATACGTTTGCTTTTCTGCTGCGTTTTATGTCCAAGTCGAAGTGGAAGGGACATCACACACACGCACACACACACACACACACACACACACACACACAGGCATAGGTATTACTTAAAATGGACGCACAGTCAACCGCAACCAATGAGAAAGAGAAACAAGTTAGAGTGCTCTAGTCGGGAGTGCCCGACTTGGAGATACCCTCAACCTCCTTCTACCAACACCTTATGCAGCTCGCCCTAGGGGGAGGGGGGCGGTAGCTGAATATAGAAAGTTACTCGATCTGTATATACTATTCTAAATACTATTCTAGACTATGCTATATAATATTCTAGAAGCTACATGTCAAGTTTGGTAACTCTAGCTCTTAAAACCTAAGAGATGTACTCAAGAAACAGGAATTCAATATCGATTTTTATCGATTGCTTGACAACGGGGGCAAGTTATCGATTATCGAAAACAAGACTCTTGCTCTTAAAGTGTCTATTGATGCAGATCAAGAGCTCGGAGATGCTTACTTCTGCCTGTTACATGCACTTGCCCAAAACCAATATACCCTTCTCACCCATTTTCAATGGGTTCAGGGTCGACTAGATGATATGCTGGAAATAATTATAGTGTATATTTCTAATCGATTGTCACACGCAAGAGCCATATTTATCGAAGAGTTAAAACCAGATAGGTTCCCAATATCTCCTATAAAGCCTGAGTTCCTGAGTTGGGTGGAATGTGATATATTTGGGGAAATAATTGGTTTGCAATTGATATTCTTAAGTCAAAGTCTCGAGTTCAATAGGTCTAATTCACATTTAGCTCAGTTCTAGATTAGGGGGAATATCATATGTAATAGAAGGAATAATATGGAAAAGTAACTTGTTTTTTTTGATAGATTATTTGGGTTTGTATATTCTTTAAAACACGGCATACCAAATATTTCGATACGAGCTTTCATTTTCGCTCAGATCAATCAAAGGCATTCCATATGCAATAAGCCCTTTGATCATTTTCTATTAACAGGGTAGCAGGAAAACAGGCAGGACGACAGGACATGCCATTTGGAGGGGACCGTGCAGTTCACAAGAATTCTCAACATTTGAAAATAGCCCAACAAAAATTTCATTTTACCAATTTTATTTTGAAAAGAAATTGACGCAAAGTAGAGAAGCAAAAAAAAAAAAAAACAAAAAAGGAATGATATAAAATTCAAGATGCTGAAGGAATGCTGGCACATAAAAGGATATCCGAAAAGTGCGCCATATAACGGACAAGATATATGATATGTACATACATATATCGTAAAAGGGAGGGAGAAAGGGAGATGGGAGGGGAAAAAAACCAATGTCCGGCAAAACCGCCCACAACAAGGAACCATTCTGCAGGCTGTGTGTGCCGCAAAGGGTTTTTGAACCCACACACACCCGCACACACACCCGCACACACACACACACATTATTTGAGCCGTTACACATTTCAGCTCCTTATAAAAATATACATATATACATATACCTTACATATATATGTATATATATGTATATAAACATAAAAAAAAATACAAAATTTACAAGGAGAGCGCAAAAAGAATGGCATATAAAAAATACATGTTTTATTGTAGTATATTTTTCCCGCCATCGCTTGGCTCGTTCGTTACACACGACCCAAAACGTCAGCTCTGCCCCCAAAGCCAACACACAAACACCCTATCAAGCCCCGCCCCCGTCCCTGCCTCGCCCTCTGCCCAACGCCCAAGCGAACGCACCCCAACCTTAAAGCGAACCCAACTTGAACTCAAGGCCCACACACACACACACACACACACACACAACACACACACACACAGGCACACACGCACACATAGAGAGAGACTGGCGTTTGCCTTCTCCACTTCTTTTGGATTTTCTCATGGAAAATATTTTTCAGTTTTTATCACATTTTTCTTCTTCTTTGGATTTCGCTTTTTTCGTTTTGTTGCTTTTTTTACGTCTCGTTTTTTTTTTTTTTTATAAAATTTTCCTTTTTTTCTTGTTTTTTTTTTTTATTTGCTCCTGTTGTGTTGGAGCGCGCTTTATTTTCTGTTTTGATACCCTTGCCGTGCGGTTAACTTGATTATCATCAAGTCTTTTGGTACATCTAATGTAGTTTTTTTCCTACGAAGTTCTTGCAACTAGATAAAAAGTACGAATAAAGATCGGGAAATTGAGTTTGTGTCT